ACTACGTTATTTTTAAATACTACGGCAGATGATCAGCAATTCAAGCAATATTCTGTTTTAGCCAATCCATAGAAAATTGCAGGATTTATAATAAAAAAATATATAAATCTATATTTACATACATTTAATTGAAAACAAAATATTCATTAATAGTAAAAATAGTCAGGGATACAGGTTTTGATCACTTTTTTGTATTCAGAAACGTAATCAACGATAATTTTATCAATTGCGTGATATAGCAATATGCAATTAGAACAAATTGCATTAAAATCAATTTTCAACAAATACGTTTTATAGAGCCTGCTGTCATGTCACAAGTCAATTTGCACTGTTACACTACTATGACTGCACAGCTAGTCTTCTTCTTCCTTTTAACTTAAAATCGTTGTTTGCTTATATTAAACTAGTGGCCGCCAGCGACTTCGTCCGCGTTTTTCATTATTTCTTCGCTTCTAATAGTTGCAGCGTGATGTTATATAGCCTAAAGCCTTCCTCGATAAATGGCCTATTCAAAACAAAAATAATTGTTCAAACAAACAAACAAACAAACTCTTCAGCTTTATAATATTACTATAGATGTAACGATAACGGTAGAATACACGCAATAATATGATCTGCCATTTTTTAAAATTTTCCAATCTGCAAACTTGGAAGCTTTATAATAAAGAGTTTTACATACAGTTTACAGATGTAAATTGAGAAATCGTTCACCGAATATATGAAAGTGACTCATATAGACAAACATGGGTTTTGTAAGTTACAGTAATAACTTATGATTAATCGAACTTATCTATCCATCTTTGTTAGTTGTATTTGGCCTTTTAATTCTTTTTTCAAGACGGCCATAATAAAATTGCGTCCATTAGTGATTCAGTAATACTGGGTCTTTAGTGTCTTTTAGCAAGACATGCAATAACCTACATCACTTTGTAACGTTTTATCGTCATGTCGTTATTAGTAGCTTTAATCTCTGGATTCAAAAAGGAGCGTCTATCATTTAGCAATTGACTGGAAGTAAAAATCACAAGCAACTCTTTACGACGTTCTGTTGTCAAGCCAGAAGTGACTATGAACTCGAAGCGTACAGCTAAGTCTTCCTGGATATCCTTACCGAAAGTTCAGCTGTAGAAGTGTCTGCTTCCAAAATTTCTAATGAAATTTCATCCCACTCCAATGTTTGTTTCTCGCCATTCTCAACAGTAGGAGTAGAATGTTCATTTTCCAATTGGATATAAGATTCCAATATTTCTGTCTGACAATATATGTTGTGTGTCCATATGTGACTGGCTTTACGATGGTATTGGCCCAATTTCCATATCACCGATTAAATTTTCAACACTCTCCGGCTCCGTAATTATGTCATCCGGAAAATGATTCATTTTTACTAATTATATGAAGTTATCCTTTCACATTTGAAGGGAATACAAAAAATATAATGTACTTAGTACTAATAATTATGTTGTTATCGTGTCATTATATT